CCCTACAATATTTAAAAGCCCTATATTTACTCAGAGTGATATATTAAAAAAATATAATTATGATTCCAAATTATTTCTAGATAAAATATCAAGTAAGAAACAAAAGCAGGCTAAGAAAGAATCATATATATTAAAAGATCTTATAAAAGAATTATCTACTAAACCTGAAGCTTCGCAAAATCCTGTAACTAGAAAGAAAATACTATTAATTTTAACGATTTGTACAATAATATAACCTATGCAGAAACTCAAAATAAAATTATAAATCAAGAAGTTATAACTAGCTATTATCTTCTTGGTAAAGTATTTGAGAATAGGTATGATTACTATAAAAAAAGTAATTCTAAATGAACAGCTCAGGCTTTAGTTAATAAAGAAGTTAGGTTACAATTTTTAAACTCTGTTAGTGATAATTTACTTTGAAAGAAAAAAGAATAGGCTTTGAAGATTTATGATCTGTTTAGTGAAATTAGTATTGAAAAGATTCAAAGAGTTAAATCTCTTATAGTATCATCAATATCAAAATTAAGTCAGAATAAAATTGATCAAATATTAGTTAAATTTGCAAAATAAATATTTACTGCACCAGTATCATATGACGTTGTAAACTCAGTTTACAATCTATATAATAAATTTCTATTTTTTTTCAAATATTATTATGGTATATTGTTACATAAATATATATATATATAATTATTTTAAGATATATTACAGATTTGTATAATAAAAATTTTTTAACCATATATATATTTTTTCTATTTATATATAAATGAAAAATCATAATAATATATATACAAATAAAAAAAGCTAGACTTAAGTTCAGAAAGTAGCATATCTTTAAAAAATAGAAGCATAGGTTTAAGGTTTGTAACAAATGTAATTATCATTTACACTTATATTGGAAAATATGCAAAAAAAAGTAGCAGATAGAATATATAAGTGATGTGAATACAATAATTCTCAAATAATTAAAAATAAATGAGTTGTTCTATAGTTATTTTGCAATTACTCTAAATTCAGTCAATCATCTTATAGCATATATATCATATTTATAATATATTTATTCATATAATTAAAATGGTATTAGAGCAATTTTCTGGTTTATTATTTAAATATAGTAATAAAAATAATGATTATTTCAACTATTTAGAAACATGTTCAGCATGTAATGGAGAGTATAAAAGGATAATATGAGAGATTAGTAAAGTGATTGTGATTACTGTAGTAAAAAAACTTATCATCTTTATTGTAATAAAACTTTAGTAGAATCTTAATAGTAAATATAAAAGCGTAGTCATATTTGTTTAATTTAATTTTTAGATATATTTATCTATTAAAAATTGCCCGGTCCAAGCTAAGCAACTCTGGGATATGTCTAAATTGTTTTTTTGTCAGTTAGTTAACTATACAATTCTGGGTATGAGCTCATGATATAATGTCAATTATGTTCTAAATATAGTTAATTTTATATGTCTTTTATAATATAGATGTAATGAAGATACAATATAGGCATGGTGAAGATACGATAAAGATACAATGAAAGTACAATGAAGGTGTATTGAAAGTACATAAAAATATTTTTTTATCATGTTTTTGTTAATCAAATTAATCTTTTAGCAACTGAATATCATTTCATCATCTTTATGACTAATAGTCATTATTGTTAAATAAAAAGATCAACTAATCAATCCTATTTTATATTTATATATTTTGTAGCAATACCTGTGGTCCAAGAATTGAATTCAGAATTTTTTTTGATTCGTAAGGTTGCTTCATTAATGTAAATATTTTGAATTATTGACCAATCCTGTAAAGGAAAGAAAATTATTAATATATAATTGCAGTAATAGTTATAAAGCTTAATAGATTCTCTGTATATCTTTATTAACCTCACAACTATTTTAATAACAATTTTTAATGAAAACTGAAATAGCCTTTAATTGTATTAGCACGTTATTACTCTACTACACATAATATGTAAATTATATTTTATTATTTGCTAAAATAATTTTATATATATTGTATATAATCATCTGGTGAGTCAATTATCAAGATTATATTATTTTGTTCTGGCATTTTTGGTGTTATTGGTGATTTGTTTGCTATTAATTGATTTATTAAAACTATTTTTCTAATATTTTTGAAAACCAAGTTATTTGTAAATAGTATTGATTCACATAGATTGCATACTTGCTTGATTATCAAATTGTCATTATTATTAAGTAATAGTATTTCTGTTGATTTAATCAAGATCATTCTGTGAAATAGTTTTATCTTATAGTCTAGAATATAAATATCTATCATCGTTTTATGGAAATGAATCATTATATGATTAAATTGATCTCAAATATATTTAGCTTCAGATATATCATAACTTGTTATATATTTCAATTTATAATTCTAATCGTTCTTAGAAAATTTGCCTAGTTGTATCATATCTTCAAAATAATAATCTTCCTCAAACGAATATAAGACATAACTGACTTCTGAAAATCTAAACTTCTACTTGTAATTAGATCCTTTATATTTTTTTGAGATCATTACATCAGAAAGTCAACTTGGTTCTGAATGACCCCAATTTCTATTTTTAGTTGACTCACTTTGTCCTTTCAATAAAATAAATATAAATAATTTTTTTCATAAATAATTATAAATAAAAAGAACATAATAATTACCATCAAATTTTATATTGATATTTTCTATATTGTAAAACATAAAATCAAAGATATACTTAACAACTTGATATATAATGATCTTTTATTAAGGTTAGATGATTTTTGTTAATATAATGGTATTTTTCAAACCAATTCCAATTGTGTTAAAAAGATCTAGTGCGTTGTAAAATTTCTTATCATTATTCTGAAGATTTTGCATAGTTGCATATCTGTACTTAATATATAAATTGATAAATTTCTTCTGATAATTATCTAATTTAACTTTAAATATATCAGAATTATATGAATATAGTTTATTAATACAATTATAATTCTTAATAACATTAAAAATTGGTTTGTAATACTTTTTTAATAAAACCCTATTAACAATACTATCTGAGAGTAAATCTTTAGGAACAAGATTTGTGTTTTCTATATTATCACAAATTAATCTTAAAGAAGTTGACATTTTAAAAAAGTATGTAGTAAGCTAACAAAAATAAAAAGAAGATATATCAGTCATGAATTAGCAATTGTCTGAAATATTATATCAATAACTATTTTGTAATATTATAGTTAATTTGAGCATAATATATTTACCTTAGTAAATCTTTCTTTTATTTCAACTGATTCTGTAATATCACTATCATCATTAATCTTACTATCATCACTAATCTTACTATCATCACTAATCTCAATACTATTATCATGAATATTTTGATCTTCAATATCAACAGCATTAAAATGATCATTATTTTCATTATTATTGTTTATATCTTCTTTAATCTCTATCTGATATAAGAACTCAATATTTTTTTTTTGCATATTCTTAAATATATATCCAATATTTAGCATAAGTATTTTTTAAAGTTTCAATATATGAGTAAAATGCTTTTGACGTATTAAGAAATTTTATATCCTAAAAGTATGCAAATACATAAAAAATATTATTAGTTTATATTGTCTTATACCATAAATGACTATTATTTTAAAAAATCTCAGAAGAAAAAAACTTTTTTGGTTTATAATATTATATTGATACAAAGCCTCAATGAGGGTGGCCAATATAATACCAAAGAAGTAAATTTTACCTTTTTCTTTTTATATTAATATATTACCAAAGCTTTGACGAAGATGATAGATATACTTAATGTATATACTAGTTAGATATTTTATAAAAAATTTGATATGCACAATCAAAAAAGTTATTATAATTTGTGAAGCTGTTATACAATAACTTTACAAACCCCAATTTTCTATCATTCTAGCAAATAAGTCATTCTTGATACACTTACTAAATCATTATTTTAAAAAAAATAATACTTCTATTATAATTGTTCTTAAAAATAGAATTAATTTGTCTACTTTTATCTTTCTAAAAGTCAACTTCTTTTTCAAGGCTAAAAATATATAAAAATTATAAATATTTTATTGTATCAAAGAGTCTTTCACTAATGCTTGGTATAACTTTAAAAGGTCTTTAAGTATTATTTTTAATTTTGTTAATTGCATAGTTTGAAGCAGTTTTTGATTCCCAAACTAAAAAAAGATATCTATGTTGTGCTACTATGTTAATATTCTAAAAATCATATATAATATAGAAGAAAATTGAAAGTAATTATGCATTAAGATAATACTGCATAAATTTTAATACAGGCCACTAATTATTAAAGCTAGTTAAGTTTTTATTACTTATCGTTATTGTTATAAAAATATAAAAATATTAAACTTAGTTTATATTCTGATGGCTATTAGGGATATAGAATTTGTACGATAAGAATTTGTAAATTATACATGCGGATCTGTAGAACTGTTAAGTCATATGATAGTATAGCAAAATAAATACTTTATTTTTCTTACTAGAAGTAACTGCTATCAAGCTATTGTTGAAGTGCTATTGGCTTTTTTAATAAATACATATAAATTCACTAAGCCACTATTAACCACTTCTCAGGCTTGTTTTGCTAATGAAACAGGTCATATGATTATATTATATATGCAGAAGTTTAATAATCTTCGATTTTCTTCTTTGGTTTGATATGTGATATATTGATCAAATATCTGTATTATGCAATTGATTTTATTACTTTATTTTTTTGATAAAATTTTAGTGACCTAAGTCACCCAAAAATATGTGATACTACCATATAATAAAAAAAATATAAAAATTAGCAATATATCTACATATATACAGCAGGCCCATAGAGTGACTTGAAGAGGTATAACTGTACTATTTTTATTAAATAAAATGATCAAAGGTCTTTATTTTTTCTCTTTATTTATTGATTCTGTATAGAAGAGTAGTTAACTATCTATATCATGTATAATAGCATCACTCTCATTTCGTAATAAAGATAAATTTAGCAAATCAGATATTAAATTATTGTTAGAGACAGCTACTTTGTGATTAGAACTATCTTGGCTCTGATTATTATTTTGTGCTTCATCTGTGGCCTGTGAGTAAGGTAGTGGTTGAAGAGATAATATTTTAATTGGAGGCAGAGGAATGCTAATATTTGCTCAGAAACAGTGTTATTTATATTAGTGTAATCATAGAGTGAAATAGGATATGATGAATGTCTTTGACTCCTTCTATTAATAATGCTTAGAAACAGTGTTGTTTATATTAGTGTAATCATAGAGTGAAGTAGGATATGGTGAATGTCTTTGACTCCTTCTACTAATAATAGATAGAGACCGATTTATTCATCTAACAGAAAATCTTATACTCAATACATGCTCAACTTTTTCAATAAATAGTGCTAGTTTTGTATTTTCTGCATCTCTATTCCACCTACAGTTTGAGGTATTAAGAATACAGATTCTATCAAATTCATCTTCAGGCCTCTCCCAGAAATATATACGAAACTTATCAAAATATTGTGTACCTATTTGATTTCTATATACTCCATGACTATCTGACATATATTCATACATTGCCTAATCGAGTAATTAAATTTTGTTAATAGAAGCCAAATAAAAAAAATAATTTTTTATCTCTTAAATGATAAGAAAAAAAGAGAAACTATTTGAGAAATACTAAGTACGCACTTAGACACTTAATTAGCATGATGATATTTTGCTAAATTTGACTACAAACCATTTAAGAAATAGTGCAAGCTTATATTATAACTCCGAACAAGATTCAAAAATTTTTTTTTTATAATAATAACCAGTAAAATTAGTATTATGCTCTTGGTTGATTCTATTTGCAATACTATTCCAAAATATGTTTTGATTTTTTTTGTGGTTATGGTACTCTATATTTCTATTTCTTTGTTTTTCGATTAGAGTATATGTTTTGGAGTATTTCAAATACTAATTAGTTAAAATTATGTAAAGGTGCAGTAATAATAATACTTCTATTAGATTTATACATAAAATTAATTAACAAAATTGAGATATCTTTACTAGTAAATTACTATCAAAGAAAGCATTCAAAAAAATTGCATTAATTCATATACTAGCAATTTTTTCTAGTAATTTTTGTAGCAAACAATTGCTATAGTATAATCTAAAAAAGTTACGTCTTAAAAATTTTAATTAACTATTTTAAACTATTATATTAGTAAAACTTTTTCTTTTGTTTTGCTATATATGCTCTAGATAAAAGATATATATTTATTATAAATCAGCCTTAATAACTAAAAATTTAAAACCGTAATTGTGTAAAGAAACGTTTTATCATATTGTATATAAAGTTTTATTATAAGCTTTTGTGATAGTTTTAATGCTGATGCTCTTTAAGATTAGCTTTTGTTTTATATATATATTGTACAGTAGTCACCAAAAGTAACGTCCGATTTATTAGATAAAAATAAAATTTTTATTTATTTTATTTTTGCATTACAAAACATTAAATTTTTTTTTATTTTT